TCCAAATTGAAACGAGCTGCCGGGGCAAGTTATTAAATTATTGTAAAATGTCTTAGTCTTAGATGTATTCGGTAATATTTTGAATTTTTAGCTCTCTGTGGCTTTGTTTATTTGTTATGAACCAGTGCATTGTGACTGATTTTCTCTGGTATTTATTTTGTATTATTTGCAGTTAAGCTAAACTACTAGGTGATATACTCATCCAGACAGGACAAACATAAACTAGAGTCGATATTCAAAAGGTATTATAATAAAAATGCATTCTGCATTTAAAGATAAATTTCCGTTCATTAGTGGGTATAATATAGATTTTTACTTCTAATATACACTTTATACATATGGTGTTTCCACGTCAATCTCGTTTCTAATAGGATGCTTAAATATGTAGCAGAACTCTGGGTGGTAGGCAGAGAACTAAAGCAGTAAGAGATTAGATATATGTATTTACTAGCTGAAGAAACCCGGCGTTGGCTGCGTGTTTATTTATCACAATCTATTAGACGCGAAAGGAATGAATTCTATCTATTCTGAATTCTTCCTTCCCGCACCCCCCCCCTTCCTCTCTAACTACCACCATCGTTCCGCTCCGCCTCTCCAAACACTATCCACCCCACTGCTCCCTGCCCTCACCCATTTGCTTGCTCGATCTGCCGTCTCTCTCTCAATGTCTCATTCTCTCTCTCAATGTCTCATTCTCTCTCTCATTGCCTCATTCTCTCTCTCATTGCCTCATTCTCTCTCTCATTGCCTCATTCTCTCGCTCATTGCCTCATTATCTCTCTCATTGTCTCATTATCTCTCTCATTGTCTCATTCTCTCTCTCATTGTCTCATTCTCTCTCTCTCTCATTGTCTCATTCTCTCTCTCTCTCTCATTCTCTCTCTCTCTCATTGTCTCATTCTCTCTCTCTCATTGTCTCATTCTCTCTCTCTCTCTCTCTCTCTCATTGTCTCATTCTCTCTCTCTCTCATTTTCTCTCTCTCTCTCTCATTGTCTCATTTTCTCTCTCTCTCTCATTGTCTCATTTTCTCTCTCTCTCTCTCTCTCATTGTCTCATTCTCTCTCTCTCTCTCTCTCTCTCTCTCTCTCTCTCTCTCTCTCTCTCTCTCTCTCTCTCTTTGTCTCATTCTCCTTTTTCGCACTCTTGCTCTTTCGCTCTCTCTGGTCTCACATAGAGTCGAAGAGATATCACGAGAATCTGAATGGATTTCCCGCTGAGTGGGCTATTGATAATTCCACTGTTCACAGTTCCACAACCGTAATAATGTTAGACAAACGTTTATCTCAATGGCCGCACAAAGAATTTAAATAATAATAGCTTAACCAAATATGTGGGCAACAGGTTTATTGTAATTAATGATAGACTTGTTTCTGTCAGACTATTTTGTTGCTTTCACTCACAAGAAGACTTAAGACGCAATTTTAAATTGTATTTTTATCGTTTTCAAGTCATATTTGTTTCTGGGATTCAGCTAACTGTTAATAATCGATCTTCACACTTTCTTCTACACAGCCCTCCTAACGTATGACTGAAACGAACTGTGTGTGGGCGGCACCGATTGTCCCACATCTTATGCTAGTGGCACATTGTTCTGCTTTATATTTCCTCTTTTCGCATTTCTTTTACATGTCATAAGAAGCTTCGTCCGTAATTCTGAGGGCGAACTCTGTGTGTGCATGCCCTGTTGGCAAGTATTTGTGCCCCCACGAACCCCGAATGATGTGACTCTCGAAATATACCAGCATTTACTGAACTTAATTTATCTTCAACGAAGTAAAACGTAGTACAATCTGCATATTTGCATCCTTGACAGCCGTACTGGGCTTGCGTTGAAGGCTGGGATCGCCAGAGCTTTCATAGCTGTCCGAAACGTTCACAAATAAGAGGGAAGTATAAGCAAGAGCCAGACACGCGTTGGAAAATAATAAATAAACATATTATGAAGTAATGGACGTAGTTTTATATTTCAAATATCTTTAGGGTGTGCTCCGCCTGGCCTAATACGAAGCTTCTACCTGTAAGCGAATTTTTGACTGCAGAAAGATGCGAAAAGACTAAACCAGAAATTAATGGTGCTAAAACAGCACTCCCACCTGCACTTTCACGCAACATTACACGAAAACTACTCGAATTTGTACATGACCATAATTTAAAATCTATCTTAAGAAACATATTTCATTGAAATGGACACACGCACGCACGTTTTGCAGTTAATCGAGTTTTCGGTATCGAATCCACAAAATATTGATTCTAGCACAGAAAACCACCACGTGTTAGAGGAAGTAAACCGGGAGAGATGGCTTAGGGCATCATCTGATGTCACTGCAGTCCCTCTCGCCGGGAAGTCCTAGGTTCGAGTCCCGATGGTGGCAGGATTTTCGACACTAGCTTGTTAGCTAGGTCGAATTCAGTCGCTGTCTGAAGGAGAATTCTAGCGGCCGGCAGCTTTGATCGGTAGTTTTCCGTTACTCCGATCAACATCAGGTGAATACCGGAGCAATACCCTAACAAACGGGCCACGGACCGCGCGCGAACTCACCTTCCTCTTCCTTGTTCTATCCTCACCCCTTACGCACTCACACTGACACGCATTTCACTACCATACATGCCGGGAGACCCGTCAGGAGCTAAGAGCTTGTCCCGGCTGAGGAGGTGCCCCGCTGGAGATATCTGGTTGGGGAAAACCCCGCTAGCTGACAATAGGTCGGATCTCGCCATACAGAGGGGAAAGATCACCGCCACTGCTCGAACGAAAAAAAATCCATTTCACTTACGGGACTAATGACCCTGGTAGTTGACTTGCCCGGAATCACTAAACAATCAAACAATCGGGGAAGTAATTTATAAAATATAGCATTAGGATTTATCCACTTTTTCGTTACCAGGGCCTGGCAATAAGAGTTTTTCTGCCGAAAATTTGCTGTTTCCGGCGTACGAATACATAACTTTCTCTTCTTCCGAAATAAGTGCGAGAAAGTAAAATATATTTAAAATTCATAAATAAGGAGGATCGTTTTTTAAGAGGAATATACAAAATAAAAAACAACATCCCTTTGGCTCAGTGGTGAAGTCGCTGGCCTCTCACCACTATTTGATTCCTATAGAAACCCTGTAGAATCTCGCGTGAAATTTGTTACAACAAAACGAGTTTGCATCCTGAGTATGCGTCATTTAGAACATTAAATTTTAATGTATCAAATTTATAAATTTATATATTTTAGGAGAAAAGATTATATAGTGTGTAATTAAGATAAAAAATTATATAGAAAATATTACAATAATGAAAAAGTTAATATTGGGTTAAGTATTCCCAGTTCTTCTTCTATCCATTTCTCAGGTGAATAAAGGAAGGCTTCTTAACGTTTTGCATTTTCCTACTGCCCTTAACATTTTTTGTTGAAGTGACTTGTAGCTTATTTCTGATGTCCAAAATTTACAATGTTAAAAGTGATTTGACCAAAAAAAAAAAAAAACCAACTTAGTTTTCATAATTTCATTGCTTATTTGTGAATATCAAAAAAAGATTGTTGAGAATTTTTTCCTACAGCTTCCAACATTTCTTAACACCTACTTATATACTTGAACTTGTTTTCTCTATATGCCCATCCACCTTTGAAATGTGTTCATATTGGAAGCAAAACCAACATTACTAATTTTTGATATTGTAAGCAGAAAAATTTAAAATATACAATGTTTGTCTTCCTTATCAAATTTTGAGTATATCCCATGATGAAGTCCATATTTTCATTGAATGGTTATTCAAGTTATCGATATGTTGCATAAACCAAACTTATTTCCATTACCACACCTTTGTCGCAACACTATTCTTTTTCCCTACCCTTGAACTGCAGTTTTTATTGATGTGCTTCTTTATTCTTAATATCTCCTGATAGTTTGAATGCAATTTAATGTTGTTTCTGATCTTTTTAAAAACACAGTTTTATATTTTTTTATCAATTTGCTTGATGTTTCAACTGATTCAGGATACTTTTAAAAAAATGTTTATCTAGATTCAACTTGTTGAAAGTTAAAAACTACTGAATTTTAGTCATAAATTTCATTCCATAACTATTGAATTGTCTTATTTCAATGAATTGCAATTCAATAGTTTTCAACTTTTAACAATATTTTACAATCCTGGACTCAAATAGACTTTTTTATTGAGGATCTAAAAAAACTATAAAAGTGTCTGTTTTTAAAAAGGGCCAAAACTATGTTTATCATCATGAACTGACCAGAAATTAGGCTCTATAGTCTGTTTCTATTGGTTTATTCCAGTATTCTGGATAGATTCTTAGTCTTCCAAGTTTCCCTGCTGCTGCCACCTCTTTAGTGGTCTCCCTATATAGTGATCCCTATTGTACTTTGGTACTTTCAGATTAATTTTGGAAATTAGTTGTTTTTCATTCTCTGTAAATGATGTTTCCCACTTCTTTGACACTGTTCTATCTCTTCTACTATACATTTGGTTTTCAATTTCTTTCTGATGTCTTTATTTCTTAGTCTGTGTCTTCTTGTGATTCCCATGAGGTGTCTTAGAAATCTCATATGTGCCACCTGTAGTTTTTGTTTGTCTCTCTCTTTCATTACCCATGTTTCAGAGCCATACATGATTCTAGGTTTAGACAACTCTAGATTCTAGGTTTAAAACAATGTTGATAACTGAATAACAAATATTAATAAATTCATTAAAATTGAATGAAATTTATTACTAGCTTCCAATGTGATCCTTACTTGTAATTGATCTCCATGAGTAGGATTGATAAAGCTCATTTTAGTTCCCCAGATTTTTTTTTTCTTTTTCTTTTTTTCTGTGCTTCAATGTGTTGCTAAATTAAAATTACATTTGTTGTGTTTGGATTTGATATTTGCAGTATTTTATGCATCAAGGAAGAGCTTGGACAACTCAGTTTACAAACCTCTCAAGGAGGAACATCACATCAGTCTGGTGCTTGCAACAGCAGCCAAGAGGGTGATGCAAAACATTCTTCTTCAAAAGGGGGAATTAGTGTGGGGTACCAAGATCCTTCAACAGCTCATCACGCAGGATGGATAGATGGCCTTTTGGGCTGTCTACGACCTGTTTGGACAATCATAGGAAAAGCCACTGCCAATGAAATCAAAGGCTGTCAAGGTATAGAAAGACAGAATTTGCTTTATATATATCCATTTCCTACTACTAGTAAACATTATTTTTAATTGTTTTTTGTGCTCCTCTTTATGTGTAAAGAAATAACCTTTAATCATATTTATTCAAATTTTAATATGGAGAGGAAGTGTGTCAGAAACATTCATTCATTCATTAATTATTATTTTATGCTGTATTTAGTCCCAATATAAAAGAAAGTTCAAAAGATTTGATTTAAAATTCATTTAAGACACATTAATGCTTTTATTCGTGGGAAATATCCAGTGCTGAGGAGTATGGGAGTGTAAATCTTCATATAGGACTTAAATGCTAAAGTTTATTTCAAAAGTCAAATGCTACTTGATTTTCTGTGTTAAGGGTAATTGACTGTAATTAATGCATTTAAGAAATTAAAAACCCTAAACTTTAGTTTTTGAGTTTTCTCAGTATTCAGTGATCAAAAGTACTGTTATTTATGTTGAAGGGATGCACTGCAATACTCATTTGAAGTCCTTTCTATGTTTATCTGATCAAAACTGTCTTCATTAACAATTAACAACACATTAGAAAACTTGCAAAACAGCAATGTAATTACAAAAACAAATCTACAAATAAATACAAGTCAGACATTATATGATATTGTGTATACTATAATTTTCATTTGTCTTACTAATTGAATGCAGTTATGCAGAAGTGATGGCTTGAATGAAAATGAGTTTTATAACTTTTCTTGCACTATTCTTAATTTAAATTAAAGTAATGAATCATAATTTGACTAGGAATGAATCATAATTTATTTATGAGAAAACTATGGAAAACAAACTTTAATTTTTTTTATCCTGCTGTTACTAAATATATTTATGCTACAGAAAGTTTAGTTCTTATTATTCCAAAATATTTGTGTTATTTTGCTATACAATCTTTTTCCTTTATTTCAGATGATTGGGAAATTGCCTTTGAGACCATAAGTGATTTGCAGTGGCTAGGTTCAGGTGCTCAAGGTGCTGTATTCAGTGGAAAACTGAAAGGAGAAGTAGTTGCTGTCAAGAAAGTAAGAGACCAAAAAGAAACAGATATTCGTAATCTCAGGAAGTTAAATCATCCCAACATTGTTCAATTTAAGTAAGTGTACTGCGAGTGAAATAAAAACGTGAATGTGCAGGTAAAAAATGTGCTACAAAATAACATGTCAAATGTGATAATACAGTCAAACTTTCTCAATGCGGAACGTGCATAATGTGAAAAGCTATCTAATACGAACATTAATCTTGGTCCTGCCAAACATAAGATCTATGGCATTATATTGTGTAATGTGAAATCTTGTGTAATAGGAAGAAATATACTGGTACCTGGAAATTTTAAATTGAGCAAGTTTTACTGTATAAATATTTCTGGGCATAGCAAATTATTCAAATTAAGAAGTCTGAATTTTAAATTGTTAGTTGATGTTTTATATTATAATTAGGGAAATATAAAAGACAATTAAAAAGTGTTGCTTAATTTTAAATGTTCAAGTGGGTCATTTAACTTTGTAAAACGTAATCATCTTTCATTTACAGAGGCGTGTGTACCCAAGCACCATGCTATTGTATTGTAATGGAGTATTGCCCATTTGGTCCTTTGTATAATTTACTAAAAGATGGAAAAGAAGTTCCACCTGTCAGACTAGTTAACTGGGCAAAGCAAATTGCATCAGGCATGCATTATTTGCATTCCCATAAAATAATACACAGGGATCTAAAAAGCCCTAAGTAAGCATTTTTTTCTATTTTTTTGAGGCTTTGTGCTCATTAATTTTTGTAATAAAAATGTATTGTTTTTTGTTTGTTTTGTTTTGAATGACAGTGTTCTCATTGGACGTGGGGAAGTGGTAAAAATTAGTGATTTTGGAACAAGTCGAGAATGGAATGAAATAAGCACTAAAATGACCTTTGCTGGAACTGTTGCATGGATGGCTCCTGAAATTATTCGCAATGAACCCTGTTCTGAGAAAGTTGATATTTGGTGAGTGTATGATTACTGTGTTTTGTGTTATACATAATTGGTTTTTGCTGGGATATACTTTGTGATTCAAGGACAGGCAACAATTCCTTGAAAAATGCTTATTAATTCAAAGGGCAAAAAGAAATAGTAAATGTGATATTTATGGAAGTTCGAGTTGAGGGGTAAATAATAAATAGAAATTTTACAGAATACCGTTTTTGTGTATTCACAGTTAGCTAAACTCATTACATTAGGGAAAATCATTGGGGGTGACATTCAGATTATAGGATGGATGGGCAAACACTTCACAGAGGAACTGCTGCAGAAGATCTGTTCTAAGCCATACTGTGCATGTCCACCCTATAGCCCACATCTCACTAACCAGGAATGTTCAATTTAGTATTTTCTGTGGCACACAATTCGGTAGTTGGAGTGAGTTTCAGGTGAGGGGACATGTAGTTGAAATGACTTTGGAGTATGAAAATGTAGCTATACCAGTTAGGCTTCTCTAAATTGATTTTGATTGGTGTCTCTCTTGATTTTGTGATGCATCTGGAGACAAAAACATTAGAATAATAAGTGTTTCTTTTTATATTCATTTATAAGTGATTTATCAATATAGACACTGTAAAACATGGTTCTTCATTAACTCTAGGACAATTTCAGAAAAATCAAGTCAAGACCAAGAAAATTAGTTTTTCTGTTTCTTAAAAAATGTAATTTGAGAAAAGTAGGTTTCATAAATCTGTTATAGTTGTTTTTATTCATTATTAATCTAGGATTTTAATTTTGTTCTGTAATTTTGATGGGTCATTTCTAGTTTTTAAGAAAACTAGTATATCTAAACAATGAGAGATGTTTTTATTGTGAATCTGTGACTGAAAAAACAGGAACTTAGAATCACTGATGTCATAATTCAAAACGCAACTTGAGATGATTTGATTTTAAAAGAGACCAAGAAGAGCAGTGAATAATTTCTAAAAATACATATTTTCTTAAACTTTATTTTGTAATAATATGAAAAATTTACCATGTGGATAATTGAGAACCTTTATTATTTGATTAATTATGATTTTTAACTTTTCAGGTCATATGGTGTTGTCTTATGGGAACTTCTTACCTGTGAAACACCATACAAAGATGTGGATTCTTCAGCAATCATGTTTGGTGTTGGGAATTACTCTCTTCACCTGCCTATTCCTAAAACTTGTCCGGAGGGTTTTCGACTTCTTGTTAAACAGTGTTGGAGTGCTAAACCACGAAACAGGCCATCTTTCAAACATATTCTGGTTCATTTGGATATTGCTGCTGTAGAAGTGCTATGTACTCCAACAGAGGAATATCTCAAGACACAGGTATTTGTAACATGAATTTTGTACAGAATAGAATGAGATGTTTTATATTCCCATTATGGTTTTGAGAGTTCATGCATGTTTTTTTTATCATTCCCTTTTCTAGGAACATACTTCACTTCCCTTTACTTCATTTAGTTTAAGTTAAACATTTACTTGATATGTAAGAAATTTGCATAAAGATATTTGCCATATTTTCTGTGATCTGTGTTTCTATTTTCTGTGTCTTTTTATCTTTAGGCAACATGGAAAGAAGAAGTTCGTAGTGTTATGCAACAAATGCAGTCAGGTGGGAACCACTTGCCTAAATTTGAAGAAGATATTATAAAGAAGCGTAATGATGAATTGAAACATGCTCAAGATATAAGAGAACATTATGAAAGGAAATTGGATCGAGTAAATGATATGTACATGGAAATGATTGCAAAATTTCTACAAGTAGATCAACAAAAGCAAGAATTGAAAGTTAAATTGCGACAAGTGGAACTATGGGAACAAGAATTACGAAAGTAAGTAAATTTCAATTACTTTTAGCTAAGGAAGGAAATAGTGAATATTGTTAAAATTATGCTTGTTACAAAATTACTGTATGTATAAGCATAATATAAGATCAGCAGCAATAATCATATACCTATCTGCATTGACATGAAATCTTATTTCTATACTTTTATGTGTTCCAGAAGGGAGAAGCAGGTTGGAATTATCCATTCTTCCCTGAAAGCTCAGAAATTAAAGAAAAGAGGTCATTTTACTCAATCTACAACACCTACTTCTCCTGAGCAACACACGAGTCCCGAATCACCTCAGAATTGGGTTCATGGGGTAAGAGATATACTAATTTGGGTATTGTGCAAGTTGCTTTGTATATATGACACGTTTTGTTTGTCTGACAATTGATGATTGGTTTTATCTAGAGTCCAGTTATGGCTACTTTGGTTGTAAAGGGAGTTTCTCAAGCCAAGTCAATTGTAACTTGTGGAGGACCTGGAGAAAGGTTGTTGAGGCAGAGGAGGTTTCGTCACCGAAGAGTAGGATCAGGAAGTGGAGCTAGTCCCTCTCTGTTGAAAGCAAGTCCAATTCGTGATAAAAAGGTAATGTAAATAGTAGATTCTTTGATTTTATTTCTGTTAGTTGATTTTAATAATGTCATTGAGCTACTTGAAGATTACTTGATGTTGTTAAAACATTTTTTATTTTTCATAGTTTATTGATTAATATTAATTATGCCATATGTAAAATGAAAATATAAAAAATTAATGAACAATTGCATTGAAGTGCACACTCAATAATATCTGATTTTGTTTTAATCAGTTTGGTTATATGTCAACCTTCACAGTTGAACATTCAAAATACATCCAAAAATTTAATGTTGGAGTGATATTTGTTTATATATAACCCCATTTGCACAAAATAAAATAAATTTTTCTGTTAAAATATAATTGTAATCTATATTCAGTGTGTAATAGTGCATAGTTTCAGAGTTTTGTCTTACTAAAATGTATAACTTGTACTTAAAGTTTCCACTCATATAGGGCAACATTGAAAATTCTGAATATGTGTACATCAACTTCATAACATTTTTTGCCATGCTTTTTTCAATAAAAAATTGGCAATTATTTTAATGAAATAAAAGTGAATGTTACAGTTATCATTTCTGTTGAAAGTCATATTTCACCTTTTCTCTCTTAGGTGAAAATGAACATATCTGGACATAAGAATAATTTTAATTTTCTGTTTTGTAGAATGAACTTCACCATCATAACTTAGTGGACAATGAAACTCAAACTGAGATGATGGATATTAGTGAAACAGAAACTAGCCCCAATCCATATTTGGCATCCCGACAACTGCAACTTTCCATTCCTCCAGTGGGAAATGTAGAGGAAACAAAATCCCCTGATGCAGAGAGTCTGAATGGTAACAGCACGTGTCCTCATCCAACATTAAATAGCAATGAAAGACTTACATGCAGTGATGATGATCCATTAGAGACTCTTGGAAGAAAAGTGAGTGAAATCTTAAATGGTAACAGAATACCTGCTTCCACAGACATTATTCGGGTCACTAGTAATGGAAATCCTGAAGAGGAGGATGATAGCATTTTGAGTCAAAGACAGACAATATGTAGTAATGAAAATATAGCATTAAGGTTTGTGCAAGGGAGGAGAGATTCGCCCAGCCATTATCATGGTGTAGTTGTGTCAGGAGTAAATGTGCAACCTGTAAATGAACTGAGACTTCACGGGGCTGATAGTTCAGAAACATTAGACTCGCAAGATTCTAGTAGGGACAACATGTGTGAAGAGAGTTGGAGTGAAGAAGAGGGTGAGACAGCTGATAAACACAGTTACAGCTTGCGGAGGAGAAGGTAAATGGAATAATGAACTTAATTTTACTTCCAATATTTATAGGTTTTAATTTAAAGCCCTTGTGCAGAGAAAGTACTGTAAGAAGGGACCCGTTTGACAGCTTGGTAGACAAATAAAATAATGCTGGACAATGCCATTACAAGAGTTGGTGTCAAAGCCAGCATGACAACTGTTAACAAACAAACTATTGAATTGAGCATAATCTGCAGTTTTGTTGCCAGTAGTAGCCAATCAGAAGCTACGAAAGCAGACCCTTCTTAGAATAATCTCTCTGTACATAATGTATATAATAAAAAATTCCATGCCTTTGCTTTTTCTCTTATCTCCTTTCTGTTTGTGAATTGATGTTTAAAAATTTGTATGATAAAAGAAATGCAGATGTCAGAAGTTAATTTTCATTTCATGGATTTCAATAGGAAGATCAAAAGAGTAATTAACTATTAATTTTCTGTTTGTCTATTTGTAGCTTGTGTGGCCTCCAGGAAGATGTTTACATTATTTTATTCTGACTGCAGTATCATTTTATTTAATTTATTTACAATAACACCTGTTTGGTCAAAAATATTTGGAATGTATATTCAAATTCTTAGCAAGTGATATCAGATAAAATATATTTTCTATGAGAGTTTTTTATATAATTTTAAAAATATATTTACAAATGATGAAGATTATAATATGCTTATATATTTATCTCGTATCAAATTACACATGACCATGTGTAATAAATGCAAATATGAATGAAAGAGTGAAATTGATACCAAAAAAATTGTCTGACTTAAATCAAAACAAAATGGGGAATGTCTGTAATGTTTTTGTTCGGATTACAGTACGATTCCTCTAAATACAATGTTTTCAATTTTCATTTTTCTTAAGACTTAGTTCTAGATAGTTCCATTACACATATTTCATCAACATTAAACTGTAATTTTACTAACAAACTCATCATATCAATTATTACATTTTCTGTATTATGACATTAATATAACAAAGGATGCTATACTTTGCAAACATTCATTCTTTACTCTGTAGCAAGGGGTGTTGAATTGAAACTTTTATTTTCTTACAATAATAGTAATAGTAATAATAATATATTTGTCACATAAATATAGCATACGTCATGTATGACAAGTCAGGATATGTATATAACCATACAATGAGCAATACAGGTATTTTTAAAAATTAAATGCATGATATAAATTAAATTCAATTCAATTTTCATACTAAATACAATATAATGGAATGCTAATTAATTTTATAGATGGTAGTGTAAGAAGACTAAAATTTAAAAAAATAATAATAAAAAAGAAAAGTCTTCATAAGACTTCATGCCTAGGCTGGATCCATCCTTTATATCCAACAACCAGTTTGGGGAAGTTTCAAAACATGCAGCAGAAAATGCAAAAATTATTAGTACTAGTTTCAATTGATACATGTTTATGATGTATATATTCTTTTGTACTGTAGAATGTATGGTTTAACAGGAAAGCTTTCAATTTATTTTTGAATGTGTGTATCGAGTTTGCTTTTAAATTCACTAGGGAGTTTGTTATATAGTGTAATGCCTTCTATAAGGATACTTTTTTGAAAGAGTGAAGTTTCACTGTGTGGGATATGTAGATTTATTTTTTGTCTAGTATTGAACTAGTATTGTGAAATTATTTGTTTAGAGTAACAGAGTCCTTGTTTCCCATATGTGAAGGTTAATATTTCAAATGTGTACATCCATGGGAGTGGTAGGATTTGTAATTTTTTGAATAGTGGTTTGCTGGTTTCATGTTTCAGAGTGTAATTGTTCTCAATATTCGATTTTGGATGTTGAAAGTATGAATTCTTTCTGGGGAATTTCACCAGAATATATTTCCGTATTTTAGGTGCGAGTGAACATTTGCCAAGTACACCATTCGCAGTGTATCTGCGTTAGAATTTGATTTAAGGATGTATAAGGCATAACATGCCTTGGTAAGCTTGTTGTTTAGATTTGTGATACGAGTTCCATTTTAGATCACATTGACTAGTCAATCCAAGGAAGGTTGTTTTTTGGGCTATTTTTACAGACATGATTTTTTTTTCATCAATTGTGCTGGAGGCTTTTCTTTAGAGAATGCATTCCAAAAGTTTAGGGATACAGTTTTAATGGTGTTTATGATGAGTTTATTTTCCTGTAACCATTTTACTAGTGCCTCTAGGACTGTTTGTGCTTCTTTTTTTTCACAGTTTGTTGGGTATTTGCTTTAATAATGTTTGTGTCATCTGTAAATGGGGCCATTTTGCTTTTTTGTAGGGTCAGGGGCAGGTCATTGATGTATAATAGAAATAGTATAGGGCCTAGGATTGATCCTGGTGGCACTCCATAATTTATCATTCTAGGTTGGGAAAAATGGGTAGAAATATTTTTATCTCTAAGGATTTATATTATTTAAAGAGTGGCAGTGAATTAATTTTTCTCCAATTTCTGAGAAATGTCTATTGAATATGTTTACTTCTGCTTGTGGGTTGCGCTGAACATTATTTTTTGTAGTGAAGTTCAAAGTTCTTAGTGTTTCTGTTTTTAGAGAATTTTTACAATGTTCCACATTTCTTTTGTTATGTTTTGTGCTTTGGCAATGCATTGATCATTCGTTAACAGTTTGACCTGTTTAATTTCTTTCTTCAAGATACTTTTGTATGTTTTGTAATAAGCAATGAAATCAGAACTACATTCATGGTGAAGAATTGTTTCGTGCATGATTTGTTTCCTTGCACATGATGTTTTGATTCCTTTTGTTATCCGTGGTTAGTGGGTTTTGCTTTTTATTTTCTTCAGTGTCTGTGTGGAAAAAAGTGTTTAAATAACTTTGGAATATGTTAAATTTGGTATTCGTGTCTGTAGCTTTGTGCACCTCCTCCCAGTTTTCTGAACTTATTAAAGAGTTAAATTTGTCTAAGTTTTCCTGAGAGAAGTTTCGGCTTTCTCTATAAAGTGTTTCCTTAATAACTTTTGTGTCCATTTTGAGTTTGAGTATATTCACTCTATGATCACTAAACCCTGTGTTACATGTAACAACTGAATATCTGCAATTATTTAGGTCTATTATTATTTAATCAATGGTGGTACTGCTTTTTTTTTTTTTTTAAATATTCTGGTAGGTTGATTTATATTAGATTGTAAGTTGAAAGATTTAAGTAAATTTTTGAATAGTTTCTCTTCATCTGATTTTGACAAATAGTTTATATTGAAATCACAGCATAATATAATTTTATAGTTTTGCATCTTTTAAGTTTAACAAGAAAAATTTCAAGATTTTTTATAAAACATTTGTGTTTCCTGTGGGGCTGTGGTACGTACATAAAATTCATACTCTATTTTAGTAAGCCTATAATAAATATTTCAAAGTCTTTATCTTTTAAGGGAGACGAGTTATCTATGATTGACACATAATGAATATTATTTTTAACAAAGATGCAAGTATCACCATAAGTATGATGTGATTTGCCTATTTTCCTACATGAGGTACTTGCTAGGGTAAAACCTGGAGTGTGTGTACTATCTAGTTGTTGTTGCATTAACCAATGGTCACTAAATCATAATATTGTTAAGTGTCGTAGGTCTTGTTCAAGTAATATTTCTAAATCTGTGAGCTTGTTTCTTAAAGAATGAAGATTTTGATGAAGTACATATAGATATTTGTTTTTGTGTGTTGAGGGCTTTCCTGTTAAGTGTAGTTACTACAGGTCATAGGTGGGAGGTGGTCATATTTCTCAGAGTGAACATCATTTGACATAAGACATTCTAGAGTAAACTTCAAGTATAGTTTTTTTGTTCATTTGTTTGCAATAAATACATTTTCTGCTATAAACACAATTTTCATATGATTTATGTGTACAGGATATTTTAACGAGGTAAATAGATGTGCTTTTCAAGAATTAAAATATAGAGCTACAGGTATTCAATTTCAAAATTGGGAAGTACTATGTAATTTTAGTTTATATCTGTTGTAAAGTATAGTTCTCTTGTTTCGAGCATGAAGTGTTTGATTGTATATAATTGTTTTGTTGTAGTGTATGATTGTTTTCTTTGTTACAGTATTGCTCGTCGACCTATTGGCCCAGGATGTAGGTCACGTAGATTTAAACAACTTCCTACCCCAGTGCACAATGCAGAATGTAATATCTCTGATGAAGAAAATACATCTGAATATAGCCATCCTCCATCTAGTCAATGCTCCACTCTAGAGAGCAATCCTGATTTATTGTGTTCCATGGAGAGTATGAATAGCCAAGGTCATAAGCGTCAACACAGCGCCTTAAAAGAAGTAAGTTTTATAATTATTCTGTAGTCATGTGGGCATAAACACAAACATGTACAATTTTAAAACTTTTTGTTTTCATCTGGAGCCATACTTTGTGAAGACTATATATGAACTTTGGTCTGTATCAAAATATTCTTTATTTGAGATCATAGAGAAAGTTGAAATGATGCAAACGAACATGGTATTCAGACATGAAAGTTCACTTCTTTTTCAAGACCAGCCTGGAATCGCACAAAAAGTACTTTCTGTAATAGTACTGAAAGTACAAGAATTAGAAAACAAAATGAATACCAATCCTCAAACAGAAAAATACTTAGAATGTTCTCATCATTGTCAATGAAATTTGAATATCAGACAGACAAATTGTCATAAAATTGAGAAATTTAATCATTCCTTCTGGTTGCATTGTTTTTTGGTCTTCCTATATAAAACATGCAAATTGATGAATTATTAATTGTTTCATGTCAGTACAGCAAATATTCACTATGTTTCGAAAAGGGGATCGGAAGGGGATTAACGAGATCATGCTAATACTGGTCAACTGTTATTGATTGAACATCTTCATTTCATTTATTTGTTTTTAATACTAGTTGCTTTACCTCACTGTTTATAAAATACGTTCCTATCCAAATAATCCAGCCATAATACTTCATACTTCATTTCCTGTTGACTGCTAGTACCATTATTATTAGAGTTTGTATAATACATTTTTAAATAGACATAAATGTATTCTTGCTGGTGATGAAATACAGTGATAGGTGAAATCTAATAGCCATAACCTTTTTTAATTTCAAATTACAAACACTAAACAAAGTGCAAATTGGCAATTTCTTTCAAAGAGGGTGCCCAAAACTCCAGGAAGGGGAAATTTATGAGAAAAACACAGACCATCTTCCCTTATGGAGTATAATCTGAATAAATTCTAAGAATGTGCCTGGTGAAATTTTCTTTTTCCAATTACTTTGAATTAGAATCCTTGATTTGATCATTTCAAAGTGTGGAAATTATAAATGAGGCACCCATGTAGATTTGAATAAGCTCCTCACAGAAACAAACTCATTCTTGTTCAGTGGGCTCATGAGACTTGGGTAGAAGTACAACCCCAT